AAAAATAGAAAAGTAACGAATGGGGGGTATAAAAGTAGAGAAGAAATAATGAAAGAGATAAATCAGAAACTAATGAATGAAATATAAAGAAATAAGGAAGTAAAGTAGAAATAAATATAAGAAAAGTAAGACAAGCACAATGGAAAGTGAGAGGGAACAGAGTCAAACGAGAAATCAGAAATGAAGATAGAAATAAAGAAGTCAAAAAGTAGAAAAGTAAGGAATAGAGTTTTAAAAGTAGAGAAGAAACGAGGAAAGAGATAAGTGAGAAAGTAAAGAATGAAGGATAAAGAAATAAATATAGAAAAAGAAGAAGGTTGGTAAAAGATAAGAGGGGTGCTTCCAAGAGACCAGTATAGGAGACCGGCTCGAGGAAGAATGAATGCTCCGAGTCTGGGCACTGCCTGAGCTGGTCCCCCCACTCCCCCCCCACTCCGCGAGTCCTGCGCGACGAAGTTGCGCGAACACATTTTTGGGCAATTTTCGTACTTCTAAATATTCTTGGCCAGGATTTCTGACTTCTAACTGTTAATATCCAAGAGAAAATCAAATTTTACTTGCTATTTAAAGATGTTTTAATGAAATTAAAAACAAATTGCTGAGCAAAATGGAGCAAATTGAGAGGAATTAAGTCATTAAGAAAATCATATGAGAATCTGTTTGATTATTTGGAATAGCAATGAAAAATATATTTTTCTGTCCTAATTAATATTTTTTAATCATTGTATAAAAGCAGCGGAACAATTAGGAAAACATAAGGAGCATTTAAGAAGCAATTTTTATACATTAAAAACATATAGATTTTTACCTTTTGCCGCTAACTTCCCGACGGTGTCACCAAGGCCTATATGCGTGTAGCTACTCTAACAGGGTGACTATCGTTATATGACTTCTCGACTAAATATGCTCAACAGGACCAAAGAAAGAATAACGATTAAACAAATACAAATAGAGGAGGAGAAAGGAAGATGTAAATGAAGAAATGTATATATAATGAGTATATGAAGAAAGTAAATAAGAATAAAAAGAAAAGGATAAAGAAATTCATGAATTGAGAAGCTGATAATAAAGGGAAGAGTAAAGATGTAAAAGAGGAAAGTGAATATTGATAAAAGGAAGAAAGATAGAAAAAAAGAAAAGGATCAAAAAGAAAAATTGGATAGGTTGGAGAAATCCAAGACACCAGTATTGCGGGGCCGGCTCTCGAAAGAATGGGAGCTACCGACCATGTGCAGCTCCTTATACATCCCCCCTCGTCCTTCGGGAACACTATGGCGAATGCAGTCATCCATACCGAATGGCAAATTTTACAAGTCTCAGCAATTTGTATGCATTATGAAATTATCCTCAAGCATTCACATACATAATGTTTTGGATAAAAATAACTTTTTATAAGTAAATACAAATTTAATTGTACCAGTCTTTTATTGATTTCTCTATCGTGGGTTCACGGTTTGTCAAAGAGATGGTGCCACATATCCTGTGTAGAGAAAATATGTTCTGTTTATGAGGAGTGTATTATCGGCCCTAATTTTATTAATTGATTAGGTGAAAATGTTTTCTATAGACTATTATTTTAAATTATATTAATAATTCAAACTATTAAATTAATCTCTTTGCAGATTTAGAAGGCTAAGTCTCGATAGGTACTATGTAGTCTGGAGGTGACGATAATTATTTGTAACAATTATTATTATATATATCGAACTACTAGGTTCGTGAAAAAATTCCGCCACAGCCCGGATGTTTTCGGCCCTAAATATCTTCGAAGAGATTAATTTAATAATATTAATAATTTAAACTAATGGCCTTTAGATATTACTTTCACCTAATCATTTAATATGATCTGTGTCCTGAGTGTATAAACCTATTCAGTCGTGTCTACGATATAATATAAGCCTAGTACATTTGGCGCCTTCGCGTTTCGTGCGACCCTTTTGCTGGAATCTTTTACTGACACTGCGCTTATTGGCTGTCGTTAAGTCCTACTCCAACGAATTCTTCCATTGAACTGTTGCGGAATCGCTAATGATGGGTTCCTCGCACGTGCCCAGGAGGTGCTGCCCCTTCAACGACAAAAATTGCAACTAAATTATCATTCATTTATAATATGTAATATGAATTGAGGAATTGGAATTAAAAAAATAACTGAATAATATTTGACCGCGACCCAGTCCGAAAGTTTACAAATGCTTTCATATGAAATAATTTTCTTTCATACTCTATTGATTTTTGTCTTAGCTTAAATCATGAGATTCATGGTCCCATATTATAAATATCATTGAAAAAAGTTAATTCTAACATTTTTTTTTAAGGTTACAGATTCAGTATTAAGCCTTATCATGCTTTTCCGCCGTGAAACAAAGATTTTATATCGTTCCAATGGAGCCGATTTTGATTGAATAATTTTGATGCTTTTAATTGATAAAGATCTACTTATTTCATAAAGTTGGGTTCCACTCAAAGAAACTGAATTTTTGTACTATAATTTGTCAACGACGATTGCATTGACGTGATACGAATGCTAAAGGAAAGAAACAATATAATTTTAGTTACAGTCTGGCTTTAAAGTGTAAGAGCATGTGTTTATGTACATCGGCCAGATCATCAGGTCATCATATGACGACCTGGATATCCGCCGATTATAAGCAGTTATCAGTGTTCCCACGAAACGTACGTGAGATATGATAATGAGCGAAGTTCAAACTACAGATTGATTTTACCAGAAAGAAAATTTTACAATATAACATAAAGTGACTACTAAAGAAAAAACGTCGTTCCATTTCTTGAGTCCTTATCCAGATCATTCAAAAAATCTATAATCGATCTACGGCCTCAATCATTAAAAACCTTATTTTATAACGTTATAAAATCACTCTGTTCCATAACCCTGCTATACCATAAAATCTATTTAAGAATTCTTTATGACAATACTTATGGCTACTTCATTTACACCATTTTTTTTATTTCCATCAAATCATGTAAAATCGGATCCCAGACTATGTAAATTCTGTCATTGTTTTCTGCTTAAGAGTGTCAAGTCACTTGGAAATTCACGTGGCAGGCATACTCGCATTACGAATATACTGCACCCCGTTAACATTAACGAAAATGTAATAGGTAATTTCAAAATGACCAGGTCATCAAGAGTCTTTATGAAAAGAGCTGTTCGTTAGGTGATCGATATTGCATAAAATAAAGGAAATGCAAAGATTGACGCTTGTAGATGACTGTCAATTTTCGGAAGCAGTCACCAAGTTTCCATCGACGTATGTACTTGATTAAGTGTCTAATAGCGTACTGATATCATCTATTAGCGATTCTAATAGAACGCCAATACATCTATGAATTATTTGCGTGAACCTCGTGAACCAAGGTGAAATGGAAGGGAGTAGCTTGCAGGTACGGCTGTGTCGCCGATATAAGAGCCAGAGGAGCTCAGGAAGTCCAGACAGTCCGGTGGTGGTTCATCGACTGAAACTCATTAAACTGAGTCATAAATTAAGGTGGGTGTCTGGCTGCGGATTATCGATTGTCATAAGGAAAAGTTCGTAAAGTTGCGAATAGGTTTCAGAAAGAGAATTGGTACTGTGAAAATGAGTAGTGCTGCTGCTCCTGAAGTGGTACCGGGATCGGTGGCTGCAGTGGCTGCAGCTGGCCTTTCGGCATCCACAGTTTTCTTTGCTCTCCTCATCCCAGCCCTGGTACTGTACTACGTCTACTTCAGGATCTCGCGTCGTCATCTCCTGGAACTCGCTGAGAAGATTCCGGGCCCTCAAGGATACCCCGTGATTGGAAATGCTCTGGATTTCATTGGAAGTTCTGACAGTAAGTCCTGAAGAAAGCGGAAGTAGGATTTCAGAAAGATCCTGGATTATTGAATTAACCTCTGACGAAACAAACGACTGACCCTCTTACGCTTTTCTCACAGCAATCTTCAAGAACATTTACCAAAAGTCCTTCGAATTCGATCAAGTGATCAAGATATGGATTGGACCTAAGCTTGTCATCTTCCTGATGGACCCACGTGACGTGGAGATCATCCTCTCGAGTCACGTTTACATCGACAAATCCGACGAGTACAGATTCTTCAAGCCTTGGCTTGGAAATGGTCTCCTCATCTCCACGGGTATGTTTTCCTTCCGCTGTTATAGCTATGGTGATTATGTATTGCGAGTACGATTTCCTCTGGAAAGTAACGGCGAGAAACTTCTTCCGGGATTGCAAACTCGTTACTGCAGCAGAGGTGTACGGGAAACCAATCAGGATCGGATCGCGTGTTGTCTTGTTTTGCTTTCTCAGACTGGTACACGCACACGCGCTCCTCCTTTTCCTTCCTGGTATCTGAAAAGAATTCGCACAGTCATAAAGACATGGTGTTCTTACGGAGTCAATGAGAAATCATGCAATGTAACGAATAGCACCGAGAGCCAAGAGTGAAATTCATGCAGCAAGTCGATGGCGAGGGGCACCGAGGCAGGAAGGAGACTGCACCGAGACTGCATGACTTTCTCTCGCGTATCAGGCACAATAACTTCTGTTTTCATTTAGCTGTGCGTCACACATTTGCAGTAGGTGTATAGCGATGATATCCAAAGGAAACCCACGGCTTCTTTCAGGACCAAAATGGCGTGCTCACCGTAAACTGATTGCGCCCACTTTCCACTTGAACGTCCTGAAGAGCTTCATCGACCTCTTCAATGCCAACTCTCGTGCCGTCGTTGAGAAGATGCGTCGGGAACAAGGCAAGGAGTTTGATTGCCACGATTACATGTCTGAACTGACTGTTGAGATCCTCTTGGAAACTGCAATGGGTGTCTCTAAGACCACCCAGGAACGAAGTGGATTCGAATATGCCATGGCCGTCATGAAGTTAGTTTGATCATTGCACTATGAGGTCAGCTGGACCAATGTCGACGAATAACTTTCCTGATCGTTTCCTCTTCCTCCAGGATGTGCGACATTCTTCACTTGCGTCACACCAAAGTCTGGCTCCGACCTGACTGGCTGTTCAACCTGACCAAATACGGTAAGGATCAAATTCAGCTTCTTGAAATCATCCACGGGCTCACCAAGAGAGTCATCAAGCGTAAGAAGGAAGAGTACAAGACTGGCAAGCGCAGTGTGATCAATCCTGCTGTGGCTACTATCCAATCAGAAATGAAGGCTGCTGCGAAGGGCAAGGAGTCCAAGGTGTGCTGCTTTTGAAGTCCACATGGAAATTAAAATTGGAACAGAATAAAGAAATCTGTATCGTTGTCGTAGAACTCCAGTACAACTGTAGTCGAAGGACTGTCATTCGGTCAGTCTGCTGGTCTCAAGGATGACTTGGACGTCGATGACAATGATGTCGGTGAGAAGAAGAGGCTTGCTTTCCTGGATCTCCTGATCGAAGCTGGTCAAAACGGAGTAGTCCTCACCGACGAGGAAGTTAAGGAACAGGTCGACACCATCATGTTCGAGGTATGATAGTAAAACGTTTTATCAGTAATAAAAATAAAAATAAAAAAAATAATATCTGTTCCAGGGACACGATACTACGGCTGCTGGATCCAGCTTCTTCCTTTCAATGATGGGAACTCACCCTGACATCCAAGAGAGAGTCATCCAGGAGTTGGATGAGATCTTCGGCGACAGTGACAGACCCGCCACTTTCCAGGACACCCTGGAGATGAAGTATCTTGAACGTTGCCTCATGGAGACTCTTCGCATGTATCCACCTGTACCAATAATTGCTCGTGAATTGAAGACAGATCTCAAGCTAGGTAATTATCTTGTAACAACTGATAATCGTATCAAAAGTATCCATCACCTCGGATCTCTTCTCTCACAGCATCCGGAGACTACACCGTACCCGCTGGAGCAACCGTAGTCATCACGACCTTCAAGATGCACCGACAGCCCAATATTTATCCTAACCCGGATAATTTCGATCCGGACAACTTCCTTCCCGAGAAGACTGCAAACCGCCATTATTATGCATTTGTACCATTCTCTGCTGGACCAAGATCTTGCGTCGGCCGTAAATACGCCATGCTCAAGCTGAAGATTGTCCTCTCGACCATCCTGAGGAACTTCCGTATCAGATCTGACATCAAGGAGTCTGACTTCAGGCTACAGGCTGATATCATCCTGAAGAGAGCAGAGGGTTTCAAGATCAGGCTGGAACCAAGGAAACCAGGTATCAAGGCCTGAGCGAGTTTATCAATAGCTTCGTTTTGCTCTCCCCGATCTTGTACATCTTGTAAATTGATCCAATTCGATCCATATGATCGTATAATACGCCGTAGTCTGACCGCCTATGCTTTACCTTTATATTTATCTTGAGCAATAAATTATGCAGCTGACACGCTGCGAAATCGCAACAATGGATTAATCCTTTGATTAATCGATCCTCTTCTTTTTTTTTACATCAGCTGACAGTAATAGACTCCAACATTAAATTACAATAAATAAGAATCTTGACAAAGATATCCAAAGGGACTTTAAAGTATGGATGTCAAAGAAAAGAGAATAAAAACATTGACCAGTAGTAATCGCCGCGAAATTACTGCTGTGAAAGAACATTTTAAATCTTTGCTGCCAACGTTGACACCGGTCCAAGTTAGAAGGTAATGATGAGATGCTGTGACTTTGAGACAATTTCGTACCTTTCTCCTCCAGATCCCACTCTCTCTCTCTCTCTCTCTCTCTGTAACATAGTGATATCAAATGTTGGTTAAAAGATATTTGCGATACTCTTGTTTACTCTTTTAAGATTATCAAAGTACTTACATCGTTAGATGAGGTTAGGCTAGTTATGCAATTAGATGCAAGCTATCGATATCATCTCTGACGTCAATTTTAACAGACACCGCAAAGAGCATTACGACGCAGTGGTCCTAGAACTACAAGAAAAAGATTTAAGAGACGTAGCAGATTATTTACAAGAGCTTTTCCGTCTGGACGAAGAAGCAAGAGAGAAGGCTGGTCGTGGTACAATAATTTGGAAAAGACCCAGACTCAAACATCAAAAAGAATTAATTGATCGTCTGAGAACAGGCTTAGTAAAGTCTGTAGAAGCTCGAACAAATGGTACTGGACATGTAATCTTACTTGTTTCCTTAGGAATTAACATTCCTAATGTTTACCTTGTAGGACAGCCAATAACGAGTGCAGCAGCCCTCTTAGAAACTGCGTTGTACTTCCAATCGAGAACTTCAGAATGGTGGTGGGTAGCTGAACAGCTGTTTCAGAGCTCACTGCTAGTTGCTGAGAATATTGAGGAATTTGAAAATCAGACTGTTACCGTGATACGTTATCTCTATGGACGTTTTTTGGTTAACGAAAGTAAGACTTGATAAATAATTGCAATATAAATATATTTTTATTAACCTCTACGTGTGTGAAAGTTTTTCCGTTACCGCGAGCGGACTACTTTTATTGAATAATTATTTGTAAAAAATATCAACGTGTGTTTTCTAATACGATATCTTAGAAGAGAATTCACAAGATGCCCTGGACTATCTGAATAGTGCATGCGAGAGTTCAAAAGGCAAAACTTGGAACACGTCGAAGATCTTAGGTTTCAAACAAGAAAACCTATTCCGTGAATGCTCTACACTCTTGTACACAGTTCTCTTGAATTTAGCGAAGCAACACCGCAAGGAGGATCCAGAATTAGCTGCGGAAACTTGTCAGAGCGCATTGAAAAGAGCCATTGATTGTTAGTAATTAATTTTTAATGAATTATTCTAAAGATAACTGACCTCATTGTTCAATGCAGCTGGACACGATGGATATATCGCTAATGCTCTTTATGAACTCGGCAAGACTCAACGATTGGCGAAAAGAATGGCGCAGGCTTTACAAAGTTTATCAAAGTTCCTTGCGATAACTACGAGAATACCTGATCCTGAAGGTCTTTGCGATGCTCATATGGAACTGGCCCTAGTCTACAAAGTCCGTTAAGCCCGTTATTTGCTAATCATTTAAATTTATAGTAAATTCCTGTCTGGCATTTAATTAGGAATTGGATGACGATTTCAACACGACAAAACATCTTAGAATGCTGAGAGAGTGCGCTTCTAAATATGAACTGTCTCATAAGCTTGCACAGGCACATTATTATACTGGGGAATATTTATTAAATCGAGTTTGTTTCTCAGAATATAATTCACCGTGTTTTCATGGACTGAGATTAATTATTCTTCTAAGGAATTAATATTTCTGCATTAAAGGGTCATCCGAATTTGGCTACAACTCATTTGGAGTACGCTTTTACACTCTACAACAGTTTCGGCCTTATGGACGAGGCTGATAGGGCTCGATGCATAGCTGGGATCTCAAAAGGTCACATTTCTAATCTATTTATAATATGTATTAACGTTAACCTGTCTACTACGAATTTATTAGGCCACGAGACTATCGATCGATATAATGAATTGATCTGTCTCTGCGGACGGAAAGATGTAACTGCGATATTGAGTATTTGTCAGTGGAAAAATAGTAGAACGCCCTTTTGGACAATCCAACAAAGCCCAGAATCGAATTCCGGGCAGGACCTTCACGAAGAGGAAAATGCGGATGATAAGCATGGTAAAGGTTTACTGAGACAACCTACAAATATTTAGTTAAATTTTTTGTGGATTTAGGATCTCAAAGAGAAGAGAATGTTATCAGTGATAAATCGGAGGACATCACTAATAAAGAATCCGATACATCAACCTCGCTTACATACCACGAAGATGTTCCTGATAACAAGGATGAATCGTTAATCTTAGAATATTAATATATTGCATGTATTTCTAATCATTTCTATTTCGTTAGTACATTCAAATTTTCATATATGTTACCAAAATTTGTAGGGTATATTTGAATAATTGAAATGTATGTATTTACAATAAAACCAGAAAATCGCACACTGTATTTTTTTTATCATCGATATTTCCTGTTTTGATAAAAACTAGTATTGTATGCATACAAAGAAGAACACGGTTTCAGGTTAATATTAAGAAATTATAAGAGTTTTAAAATGAATTGGAAAAACTTCAGAGAAAAAAAGAACAAAAAAAGATGTTGCACAAAGAAACGCGCTTTTCTTTTTCGTAATGTCGCATGTACAACAGTCTCAATATACCAATCACATCAAGAATATAATTAGTTAAACGAGCCACTTTTAGAGCACTGATTTACTTTTCGTTCATATTTCCATGAGAGTTTCATTTCGATGGATTTGATGTGTTCTAGGCAATATATTCTTCTTGAATCTTCTTCTTCTTCTCCAAACACTCTCCCTTTAGAAAATCAAGGTCTGAGGAACGTATTGATGAGTTTTTTGATCCGTCCTTTTCATTTTCATGGGACTCTTTACAAATCTCTTTTGATATATTTTCCAAAGTTTCTGGTACGCCCTCTTCACGTTGGTCAATTAGTTTCGAAGTCTGCGTATTATCTTGATTTCTCGTTACTGGCGTTTCTTCTTCAAACATTTTTGTTAACACTTCTTCTAATTTTACCGACTCTTTATTGGTGTCCTCGTTCGTATTGCTATCTTCCTTTACACTGGTATCTAATAATACAATATTTCCATTTTCTTTAGATTTCGCTTCGTGAATGTCTTCACTAGCTTCTTTGTTATTTTCTTCTTTCTGTTGATCTTCTTTTTCATCTTCTTCTAACTGTGGGGATTCATCATCTGCTACGTAAATACTTGTTATGATTTCTTCATCATCATCTTCTTCTTCTACGTGTTTATCTTCTTCTGTATTTTTTTCAGGCTTATCGTCTGTTAACTCCTTTGATTCAGGAACCTTTGTAATTGAATCATTCAAATTACTAAGTGTTGGTGCTGTTTCTGAGACTTTTTCTTTCTCTTCGATGCCTTTCTCAACATTTTCCTTTTCATCAGCTTCTACTGCCTCTTTCGGAGCATCTTTGGAAGACAGTTCTTTTATCGTTGGACATACTTCCGTCTGAATATCTGCTTCCACAACATCTTCTACTACACTAATGTCATTTGACGTAGTTGATTTAACATTTTCAGTTGGAGTCACCTTTGTTGTCGTTTTCAACGATTCTGATAAGTTTTTCTTCACTTCATGCCTACTCTCGTTCACATCTGCAATAACTTCTGCTTGACTGATTGGTTCAGGATCTAGGCTCGATTCTTTTGCCTCAACAGATAACTTTAAAGCATCCTCCGATATCTCTTTTTCTTGTTCAACATCTACAGACTCTGCCTTTCCTGTTTTGCACTCTTCTTCAATGGACTTTAGAGCTTCTTTATTATTTTCTTCTACTTTTTCATCTGCATTATTTATACTATCTACCACAGAACATAACTTTCTCTTCTTCCCATTTTTTTGCGTCGTCTCGTCTTTGGACTTTTCAAGTTCCTTTTCTTGTTCGGAAGTTACTTCTTTCTCTTTGGGAAGTTCGACTTCTGCTGATTTTTCCTCTGTTGAAACCTGATCTTTAGATTCAGCCACACCTTCACCATCTACTCTTTTATACTTGCTTGAATCTTCCTTCTGTTTTAATGAAATGACATCAGACCCACTTTGAGCAGTTTCTCGATTAACTTTTTCACGAAGAGCATCCGATGTACTACTGATGTCGTGAGATTGTTCCTCCAAACTAACATCATTGTTCACATTGCTTTTGGTTGATTCTGTGGTTGCAGTTACCTTCATCTTGTCAGAGTTACTTGTCGGTCGTATTCTGCATAATGTAACTTCTGGCTGTTTCAAATGTGACAGTTCATGAGTCATTCCAATGAGTTTGTTTTTGTAGCCAACGTTGCAAATAGTGCAGACATACTCTTCCTTGTCCTTCTTCAATTTTTCAATGGTCTTCTTCATGAATTTATTCTTCTTCTGTGAACTCTTCTTTGAGCTGGTGGACAATTTTAACGACTTTTCAAGACTCTTGAAATCTGATGGCGATGATTCCTTGCTTGATATTGAACTGGAACGAGTGTTTAGCTTCACTACGTCAGCTACATTTTTCTCAAACAATTCCGTCATGGGTATTACATCAACTGCTTTTTTCCTTTTACGGCGCGGAGAACCGCATTCACCGGAAGAAGATCCACTTATCGATGCCGATAACTCTGATTGACTAACGTCAGATTTTCGTGCCCGTAAAGATGTTCGAGTAACTCTTGAGCCTATTATTTGTAAGTCATCATCCGAAAACGAGGTTCTTTTAGTGGGTTTCTTTTTCTTTTCGGGTTGTGTCTGTACTTTACGAGCATTTCTTTTTTTCGATACAATCGTGTCGGAATCAATATCATCTACTTCTTCAATTTTTATTGTTTTCTGTCTTAGAGACCTTCTCACTCTTGGATTAAAGGTTTGTTTACTTGATTCACCATCGGACTTTAATTTCTTAATAGGTTTAGATTTGACTGATGAATCATCTATGTCACTTCTGCTTTTTCTGCCTCGCATTTTAAGCTGCCTGGGCACAGATTCTTTTACTTCTTTCTTTATTTTTACAGTTGAATTGTCTTCTTCTGAGCTATCGTCCATTAAAATAAATGTAGTATTACCCTCTTCGTCTTTTTCTATTTTGTAACCCCTGTTATCTCTCAAGGATGCATCACCCATTACATCTGTTAAGAACACTGAGCATAATTTTGTCTTCTTCTTTTCCAGGGAACCCTGTGCTCTTTTTTTATTTGGTGATGTCTTGGAAGGATCCATCGTGCTCCAGCAAAATTTACATACAGTCACACCTGTGCTGTGAAATCTGTACATGTCAACGCCACTTTTGATTGTATTATGACACTGTCCACACATTCGATTTGGTTTCTTTGCTCTCGTTTTAATAATATTACCATTCGTCGCCCGTTTAGACTGCGTACGACGTGTTTTAGGTTTCATGCTGCTCGAATCAGCTTCGGTATCTGATATCTCAATTACGTCAATTTTGTCACGGATAATAGACGTAGTTTTCCGACTTACCACAAATGTTGATGTCTGTAACAAAAACGGAAAAGCTGTTATAAGCATATCACAAAGTTTATTAGTGAGCAACAACAGTTTTATAGTTTGCCAAACCGATATACCTTCGATAAAGCCGAGAGACTCAGTTTATTTGCAGATATTCGCTTCAGTTTCTCAACTGATTTTAGAGATAAAGCCTTCAAGTCGGAGAGTATATCCAAATTGTACCGACATTGCAGACATATCAACAGATTGCATACATGTATCTTTGGAGGCTGTAAAACAAAAGTATCAATCAATCAATACACCAGTTTTCTAAAAAAAACATGCGACTTCAAAACAAATCCTTTAAATGACTTACATCTTGCTCGAAGCATTCATAGATCTTCTTTGCAGATTTATCAACAGACTGTTCATCATTCGCAAGTTGAAATAACTGTGCAGTCTTGCTTGTCTGTGCACAGAGACTGCAACGATTCTTTTGTTGGGTAGGTTTGGACCATGCTAAGGTATGACGAGCCTGTTTATACTTTTGCACAAATTTGTTACACTGATTCAACTCAAAGGCGCACTTGTGGCATAGGTTTGTGGAAAAGGCGTCACTTTTCTCAACCTAAAATGAAGAAGCAAAAAGAAAAAAAAATATTATGGAAACACAAACAACATAAAGGCTATCATGGCTGCTGCATTTAAGACAAGACGGACTTCCTGTTGTTGATAATTCTACTTCCTCAATTACTTTATTGTGAATATATTGGATTCAATCATAACCCTTCCGTTTAATATTGTTTACAATTACGAGTTTCTATTCCAACAAAAAAAAGAACGTAGTAATGCCTTTAGTCATGCCCATAGGCATGCTTCGACGCGGCTTTAAGCTTCGATCGTTACTACATTCAAATGTGTTCACTGTAAATTGTTACACTGAAAAAAAAAATAATAAGACGCTTACCTTCAAGGAGAGGCACTTCTCCAATTTATGAGAATAAGTCTTGTTGCCTTCCGCGAAAATATCGAGGAAAACGCCTTCATCACTCGCGCAAAGACGACAATGAACGTCTGACATACTACCGCGTCAAGCTATCCTAGATTATACCCAATTGCGCAAGTACCGAACACAATTTAACGTTTACAGGACGTTCCGGAAAAACACTTCGACACCAACACTTTACAAGCCGCATGGGAGATAAACCATTAAAGAATGATACTAAATTGGCGGCAACATTATTATCGAAGGTCAAGTCATGTTTTAATGAAGTAGAATTTCCCCTATAGGACGAATTACATCAAAATGTTAAAATAATTTACGGTACAAATATTGTCCATTATTTTTATTAAGTAGTTTAACAACTCAGCTTCAAAATGCACTAATAAGATTATATTATTTTGGATATTTATTAGTGTTCTGTGAAACAAAAACTAAAAACAGTATCGCCATCTAGTGCCTTTAGCCAAAATAGCAGCCCTATACCAGATAGCGATTCTACAATTCCTGTGTTACGTTTTCTTCTCTAAATTATTTTTGTATTCATTATTCGATGCGTGAAAAGAATAAGGTTAGAATTTAAGAGCATTGTTAGCAATTAGGAATTTTTCCCGGCTATCAGCAGTTTGTAATACTTTCGAATTTAAGATCTCTGTTTAGTGCTGTTAGTACAATGAAGATATTTCAGCAGAAGGTATGTGTAGATTTTGTATGCTATAATTGATTGAAAAAAATATGAATTTATGACAATCAGTACGTCTTATATTATTATAGTGGAAAAATACTTTACTTTTGTAGGTTATCGTGGATACTACTAAGCAAATCAGTCGATTATTATTACCGCGTTACTTCACGAACGAAACATATGAAACTAATGGAATAGAAAAAAGTGAGTGTTATGAATTGGTTTAGATTTTTTTGTTTAATAACATGTATAAATACTTCATTTCAGCTTTGAATCAAGTGACTCTCTTAGGCCGGGTAGGATCAGACCCACAGAAACGCGGTACTGAAGAACGGCCTGTTATTGTTTTTTCTCTAGCGACCCACTTCAATTACAAATATGACAATGGTAAGTATACTAAATAAAGTTGCTGAATCCATTGGAGAATTATATGATTACTTATCTTTACAGGAGAGTTCAAGCAGCAAACTGATTGGCATAGGGTCTGTGTCTTCAGACCCAACTTAAGGGATACTGTATATAATTTCATGAAAAAAGGTCAGCGTGTATTAATTAATGGAAGATTGAGCTATGGAGAAGTGCCAGATGAAGCTGGTAAAACCAAAAAGCTTACAGCTATAATAGCTGACGATGTGATTTTCTTTCATCCATCATAGACATATAGCCATGCACTCATTTTTAATATAAATATATAGTGTATAAAAAACTTGTAAAATAAATTTTATAATTCATATTTAATCATGCCTCAGTTTCATTTAATTCTGTGTCAAAACTCTCCCCCCCCCCCAAAATCACTAATTACCTACAAGCCTACAAGCACAATTTTGCAAAGATATTGTAATAATTTATACAAAAACAAACTAGTATAAAACGAAACATGGAAAATGGTCAAAAGGTAATCGATGAGAAAGAAAGGCTTTCAAATGTATCATCTTAATAAGTAAATAATTCTATATTTACAATGTCCATCATTCTTCATCGGCCCATAACAAGATACATAATAGAATGGCGCTATTTCTAGAATTTTACAAGTATCATATTTTTATACACGATGATCGTACTCGACGCATAACGTCATTTTTATAGAATCATCGTCATTTGCCAACTACCCTTGCCTATTACTTCCTCCTCCTCCTCCTCTCTTATTATTCATTCATTCTTTTAATCACTCAAATTATTCACACCGAGGAGTCTATTCGATAAATCATCACTCTATCCTCTCCTATGTCCGTCCAAGTATAAATTATGTACACTTTGTAACCGAAACTTAAAGATATATACATTCATATCTGCGTGTGTGTATTGTGTGGATGTGTGTGTTTGTGTGCACGTATGTATATACTATATATATATTCCTCTTATCTCCATAATATTATGCTCTTTTAAAACGTGCATCTCGCGGCGTCCTAATCTTAATCATATATCTCCACGTGTTGTTCATTAATTAATTATTTCATTAAACTTTATTTCGTTTACCTTATAGAGATCACAGTATACAAGAAGCCAGATATAGGTCTCGATTCTATTTAGCTTGCACGCACGCCTCCATCATTCGCTCTCCTATCATTCGATTCCTATTAATCTTAATTCACGCGTTCCTCATTAATTAATTATTCTCCATACGAAATGACTCAACATTCAAAAACTATCACTCTCCTCGAATCACGTGCAAAAATACAGTAAGGTCCTCTTTTTAAACGCGGTATCTCGCACTCTCTCGGCTACTCTCGGTCCATCTCTTTCTCTATTATTAAAAAAAAATCTTTAATCGATTGGCAATTGATTAATCGAGACAAAAGTACCGAGGAGTTTAAAAAATGAGTGCCGACTGAAGAAAAGCCAAACGGGAGAGCGAGTCCGGTCGTGGAATGTAAACCACAATCGCGCACCAACAACATTGAAATTTCGAATATAAATTTTGGTAGTAAAATATATATTTATATATATATATCTTTTTTTTTCATTATATATAACTCTGGCCCCGGATTTCCATAAAATTCTTCCTACTTTTTTAATAGATTTCTTCAATAACTCTCACAGAAACATACGCGCATGTATCAAGTCACTCACTCATGATATTCACACGCACCATTATTCACTTAATCATTCAGTGTCTATGCGTTCCTTTTCTTACACAACATACATCCTCATAACGTGGTAGTAACTTATGTACATTAGAGATCCTACGCACTAGAATATAGTCGATTATATTAACTTGCATCGCGTTTAACCGTCATCTCGCGCTCGTAATCTCTTCGATAACGATACTGAATCATAATGAAGACGACGATAATGATAGCCACAATAGGGTTCGTACTTGGCACAGAAAAAATAAATCTGAAGACACAAAGTTTGTTCCCTTGAACAAAATCGCCATTAATAATTCCATCTAGACCTGATAAAACAGTTACAGCGGGAAGCAGAAATCAAGCGATACCATTGGCTCAGTGAAAACACGAAGACCAAGATACCAAAGGAGAATGACTTTCGACCTAAATCGCAATTCCTGATGCGTTTAACGAACGCATTCGTATCAGAGTCTTGATTCTGAGCAAAATTCGTTGTGTAATCGAATATGGCTGTGGGCTGGTGGGTAGAGTAACGTAAGCATTCTGAGTAAATAGTGGTATGAAGTAGAATTAGACGTAGAAGTCGAGGATAAAAAGAGGCTCCAGGAAGAGCGCCATCGAGAGATCCGCTTCACGGAAGCGTTTGTCACGAGGTAAACGCTCGACGTCCAATTATTGGAGTTCATAGAGCCTAGTGTATGTCGCTAAAGAAAAGTGAATTCTGTCAATCAAGGATGTTCAGGAGCAGTCTCGTACCTCATTGCACTTGTAACATTCTCTCACTGTCTCCTTCTTTCTCACAGGCAGTAAGAGGAACGGAAGAGGATATCCGCTTATGGATTTTGAGGGACTTTCTCGCATCTGCTGCGCCAAATAAACGTGTAGAAGCGAACTCGTCGTCGAGCGAAGTACGGGCGCGAGGGAAAGGATGAGCGCGGATCGAGATTCGTCGCGCTCCTCAAGGCTTGATCTCGTCAATCGATTATCTGGAGGATTGAGGTATGAGGAATATTGAGAGAATAGTTAGGAAAGCTATAGGACGATCAGGATGAGAATCAGGATGAGGAGCGACGTCCGTGTCCCTGTGGTCAGTCTTAACTCGTAGATCGATCAGCTCCCGAATCGTGGAATGAAGAGCCACGGCATCATCCGCAAGGCCAGTTACTCCACGGTGCGATTCATCGCCGATTGACCAATTATACGATTGAGCGTTCGCGCAGTTACTGCTAGGTCCCGCGTCACTTCCTCTCTTCCGGTTCTTGATTAGTTTTAACGAGATTGTACGCGTGACTCCTGTATTTGGCCGGAGGGTCGTGTAGAGGCAGGGGTTCGCTGGCTGGTTGGTTCATGCTGGACATCGAGAGATCCGTTGGCATGTCGACTTCCGGTTCTATTGTTGATATTGTTCCATCTTCTTCGGGCTCTGACTTTATCCGCATCTGCTGGCGCAGCAAGGAGATGTTCTTGATATTCTTCAGTTCGGTGGGATTGCGCAGAAATCTTAAGAAGAAGAGAGAAGGTTGAACTAGCGTTTCACTTGGATAAAAATGAACTGGGTACGAGTACCGGCGCTGATACTCACTGATAGCAATGACGCTCGCCCTGGACCTTCCTGAGGATGTTGACCCGATAATAATAACGCAGTGCTCTGCTCATCTTGTCGTAATTCATCGAAAGATGATTCTTCTGAATTCCCCATAGACGAGCTAATCCGGGTGGGTCGACGATTTTGAAAACTCCAGTTTCTCGGCACTTCCACGCTATGTAGTGGGTGTATCGCTGAGAGGGGTCATTCAGCAGTTGCTGAAGAAAGTCCCAAAGGAGTCTGCCATCTGAAGAGGTAAAAGAACCCGGGTGAACAAGAGCAACAAGATCGCCTACAGAGCTAAGGAACAAAGCAAACTGTACTCACTGGTGTTTGGCTCGTGCGAATCACTGGGGAAGAACTCCCGTGCTGCGGTTGAACTCGGTCTGAACGCACCAGGAGTCAGTGGCATCATCTGCGGCGGAAACGTGGGACTGGGTTGATCCTTGACGCAGACCTCACTGAGTCTCTGAGCAGCCAAGGCCGTGGGAGTAGCCGGTGGACTGTTGCTACTCTGCTGATTATCCTCGTCGGATTCACTCTTGTACACTTGGGTCTGCGCGCTCTCCGTGTGTCCCGGGGAGCCAGCTTGGCTGTCGACCGAGGGCGCCGGGGACAGTGTCACCGAATTCGCCGACATTAGGGAGGCCAAATTAGCGGCGTAGGGATTCTCGACCCACGTCGGCGTCGGCGGGTGCGAATGAGGACTAAGAGGATAGGCCGACGGCCGAGTGGGAGTGACAGGACTGCTAGGTAGGCACCTCTGAAGCTGATTGAAGTCACGTGCGAGCATCGTCAGGACATTGTGGAGAACGTCTCCCGCGCCAGGACACCTCTCCCCCAGGTCGAACTTTGTCAAAAGACAGAGAGCCTTACCGTTCATTTGAAACATGTCCATGTCAAATTGCGGCAGGTCGAACTCTCGTTCAGCCCAACGCAAAAAGGCAGCCACATCCTCCCTGGACCACAGTCTCGGGTCAGAAGCTAAAACAACGAAAGCAACAATAAGGAACAATGGCCAATCAACCCAACAACAGATCCCAGACGCATTCCATACGATCCCCGATAAATTGACTGACCAAGTGTGGTGGGCAGATGTGTCTTGAAGTCGAGCAAGGGACTCGGCGGTGGATGAGCCGCTGGCGAGAAGCTCATCGTGGGTCCATATCGCCAAAGGAGATCCGAAGGGCTGAACGGCAATGATATCCCGGGTGGGAGACGGGAATCCATTCCCGTCATACCGCCTCCAGCAGAAACCGGTGGTAGCTGCGGCAACTGAATCGTCGGCAACAATTTCATAACACGTCCTCGCGCCAGTACAATCTGCGACAAAAGGAAAGCACAAACTGTAAGTGAAAGCCATAAATTTTCCATTACTCCCCATTTCAAAATAACCCAACAGCTACTTATGTCCCTATGCCATACCCACGATACGAGTATACAAACAGACCAGGCCAGCATGATCTAATCAGTGAATTAGCTGGCACGAAGCAAACTATCCTTAGTCACTGTTTAAGGATGCATTAGCCATTACCCGTTAGGAACCAATAAGCGAACGGACGGCGAACAATCAAACGATGTCAGAAGCTATGTCAACATCGGAAAACGTCCTGGCTTCGGAGGCATCCACGTATCGGGCCCCATTTGCATAGAATATGGAGGCATAAGAATGAGCCAGCACCGCAGGAAGACAGTATCCGTTCCCGTTGATATTTACATAACCGTATTTCCATTCGCTAACCTCTCGACGCGTCCACGGATTCCATCCGGAAATTCGCCCAGAAATCGTCGCTTCGATAGAAACTCCCACAAACAAATCGAGACCTCGTCAACGATCGAATCATCATCCACAACAACACAGTTCCCGACCTTTGTAATCTACGTCAAACAGATTTTCATCCAGACGTCACTGCCACGTGGGTCAACGAGTGATTTCAACAAGGAGCAATTAAAATCAGTGAGAATCGTTAGAAAATCAAATGAGAGAAAAAAAAAAGAATGTCTCACCCGACCTCGCCGCAAGTAAACAAGAGATAATAAACCTGGACGGAAGTCCGCGCTTCCTGGGACGTGAGATTGCCGATGACCGTGGAGGCAGCGAGCTTGGTCGAAAGAGGCCAAAAAAAAAGAGGCAAAAGGAAGAGAGTAAAGATGGCGATTTCCTGGTGCGAGAGCGTCGCGCGAGACAACGGCACATCGACCTTCGCGTGCCGCGAGTCTGCCTTCTTCTTCGTAGTCTCTCTCGTGAGCTCTCTGTCTTCTTTCTTTCTCCAGGTAGCTCTCTGTCTCTCTCTCTCTCTCACACACTACACTCTCCAACCTCCTCACCTTGTTGCTCCCTCGGTATGACCACCTTCACCTCCTGCTCCTCGTGCCGATCGCCGCTCGCCACTTCTATCGCTTACGCAAGAAAGGTAACAAACCAGATTCCCCGGCTCTGTTCGGCGCACAGAAGTCGAACGCTTTTTGCGGGCGTCTCCGCTCGATCGCTTCGAGAATCTCTTGTCCAGGCGAAGCGGCGATCCGTGCCGCCTGGTGCCGTTCGACCTTCGAGCCATCGGGGGATCCCCCCGGGGGGAATCACAGGAGAGAAGAAAGAGTAATTCACCTAGAGGAAGTGGCATCCGTCCCTTTCCTTCCTTCCCCTACCAGCAAGGCTATCGGGTATTCTGGTGAGAGCGAGTGAGACAGATGCAGAAAGAGAGACGGTGAGAGACTTTTCGTCGGCGGAACAAGACTTCCGGCTTACGGTTGGTAACACTGCTATACGCTCGCGTTATACTTTCTGTGTGTATATATGTATAACGTACCGAGGATGCTTTTTGCCCGGGCGCTCTCGTTCTTATTCGGGTGAGCGGCCTCCTGCCAGTTACGATGACGACGTCCGATGACTACGCCAATGGCTGATCCGAGGGGGCGTTCTATTCTTGCTAAACGATCTCCCATGCAAGCTCACTGGGTTAGCGAGCGTAACGCGTCCAGGCGAAAATCATTTAACGCCAATTAACGGAAGAGCCCGGGATCAGGAGTGGTGGATGAGATTATTAATAGAGACGAAGCCGATTAGCGTAGCGGTTGGCAATAAGCGGCGGGACGGACGTGTAAAACCGGAAGCGCCTGGTAGATAGGAAGCGAGGAAGGAAGTAAGGGTCCGAGACCTCGAGAAGTCACGATGACCTCATGCCGGCAGTGCCAGTATTATATATATATATATTTACAACAGAACTCTTAAGCAGACTCCTTAATGTCAAAGGTACGTTATGCCTTATTCATAGGAGCCAAATACGTTACATAATGCATAAGTCGAGTCGAGCGCGCCTTAACGCGTCTGTGCACGCAAGGCAGGCGTAATTTGGAAATAATTTTTTTTTTTTTCAGGTTAACCCAATGTCTTTGACTACTTCCGGTTTTCACGATGCCGCTCGTGGATTCTCGGTATTGGGAAAAAAAAAAAAAAAAAAAGGGAGATCAATGATCGTGACCAGCCCGTGCAGTGCTGTCGAGCGAGAGACGCGTTCTACTGTGTGGGATTGAATAATATACCAACCAGGAAGTGAAGTCGCGCGAGAGGAAGGTCCTTGGGGTTCAGGCGACGCAGCAGGATTTAAGAATCGTGATCGAAGTAACGCTGCCGATATGCGGATGCTGCGTAATCCTCACCTCCACCATCACCTCCATCTTACTATACGTACAGCCGCCTCCGCGCGTTCAACACTCCTCCCACTGTTCCGGGTTCTCTCACGTAAGATCTCGTAAGCCGGTCGCCAACGTATTTATCACCATGGGTATGGGTACCGCTAGGCTCGACTCTTTCACGCGTAAGCAAGAGAGTAAGCAAGTAAGTAAATAAGTAAGTAAACCTCGGGTTCGAGGAAACGTCCGCCTGGCTCCTGATACTTTTTAGACGTTTCCCCTGGCGACGACCGCTTTCGGCTCTTTTTACTTCCTTCTGGCTCGACGCGCCGGAACGCGTGACGAATCTCACCAGGCGTAACCCTTCTTCCGCGACTAGTGCGTAGCAGAGACGATTATTATCATTTACCTGGAACTTGGGTTACTTCTATTCGGTTACTTCTATTGAGTGTAATACGTTTGTCGCACCTGATTCTATATACGTGTTTCGACTCGTTCGTCGACATGTACGAGGCACGAGAGATCGAGGGGACTGTTATTTATGGAAAGTCGTAAGGAGATGGCCCTCTTGTATATGAGACCCGATTCAGGATCGATTGCTTTATCTTTCTTTTTGGAATAAATATTCGAGTTGTTTAAATTTAAAAAAGGGAAGCTACGTGCTCGTGCAAGAACAAAAAGCTTCCGTATTGACACTCGGTAAGTTTGGTGCGTGCATTATCGCTCTGAGGACAGTGAACCTATTGCCTTTCTGCAGCAGATGCAAACGCGCGTACGTGCAGTTGACGTAAACGTATAAAACGGCTGAAGGACTGCGCGGGTAAATAGAGACTAACTGTCGGTAATGCAGTGATAGGGAGCGAGTGAACTATCTTGTACCGACCGAGCTGCAGCACGAAGTCATCGTAACGATATACCTCTAGGGTTTCCGTGCACTGGGACTTGTCGAACTTTGAATAATCAGGTAGTAATTGTTCCGAAGTGAGATTAAAAGTGCGAAGGAGTAACGTAAATAGAGTAAAGAGATCGAACATAGTTAAGCTCGATGTCTGTCCCGAGAATTATTGGACGCCGAATATCAAGCGGGACGCTGCGAGCGAAGCAAGCGAAGTACAGACTGGATTTTTGCAAGGCGTCGGCGCCGCGGTGGCGTAACGCGATAACCCGCGAGTCAACAATAAACAAAAAGGCCGTAAAGTGACACCAGAGACGGGCGGTAATTTCGTGCGGACGAACTGCGAGACACGCAAAGATATATATGTGTACGTGTATTACTAAAAATAAAGAATCAACTAGAATACGTAGAATATAAAAGTTGGGGTGGCCGAGAACCTAACCTAACCGACATTGATAATGAAGTAATACCCGGCGAGGAATCAATTCGCGACGGTGGGATCGGCTGAAATTGCTCGGAATACGTTGAGCATTGTTCAACCGTCTAGATCGGCAAATCCAAGGCAGGCGATAAGACACACGACACACGGAAGTGGATTAGCGCGATCGCCCGAGGTACATAGAGGCAGGACAAAGGCCGTGCGAGCGTAAGTGACACATAAGTAAAAGAATAAGGAAGGAAGCAGGAAGTAGTATTGCCGTCTTTCATAACGGTCGGAATTTATCGCCGTCGTTCATTTCCGTCGCGAAGTAAACGCTCCAATTTTATATCCGCGTTATAGGCGAGACGAGGCAGTAAGAGCCAGACGGCCATATCGCGCGTACAATTCATAACGGCAGTTGGCGACTTTGAGTCCAAGGAGATCTATAGTCGGTTCTCGAAAAATCTCACGTTCAAAAGCAGATCGACAAAAGAACGAATTAAACGACGAGAACGATGCGTGAGACGTGAAAAGGCTCGAATCAGGAAATATAATGGGGGCGTGAGTGGCCACGTGTGAACGGGGACGTACACCATGTGCGTCGTGTATGGCTTAGCTGATAAAGGCTCCAACGACGTGTCAGTGACCTCCAGGCTTCGTACTGATTGCCCGAGGGCACCTGCCTGCCTGTTCGCTGGTTCAAGTTATTACGTGCCGGAGCACCAGATAAGGTCTGTCCTCTTCCGATTCTTCCTCTTCGTCAGTTACACCTCCACCGAACGTTCTAAGGACACTCCCGTAACCTCATCGATACCCTAGTCCAATCTTCATGAAGATGAAGTGGCGATAGAAATTATGGAAGCTGATCTTGTCGGATTTCACTTCTCAGGAGGATACGTGGTCCAGGTATCTCAGCATCCATTATTCCACGGAGGTGGATCGACGTTGTCAGAATGGCTGGTACCCGAGCAAGTGATAGACGGAGGTGGTAAACAGTTGAAAAAGACACGTGAGGTCTGCGAGATTGAATTGGGCAACCTGTTACGCGTCGTTCGTTACCCTCGAGGATGGATGAGCGTCACTGGCCCCCACAAAGAGAGCAGTGAGAGAGACTGGCGGTGCACGTGCATGCAAGTAACGCCGACCGGAAGTCGATAAAAAGCCCGGTTCACCCTCGTCACTCGGCACCAGCTTCTCGTCATGGGAACGAGTCGTAAGGAGCGCGCGGTCCAGACCTAAAACCTGCCTGGTCGACTCGATCCCTGCACTTGGTAATCCCTTTGCCCTTTTCCCCCCTCTCTGCCCCTCCCCCGAACCCCACGGCCCTTCCTTCCTTCTTCTTGCTCCCCT